GTCCAAACAGGTTTAAAACGTCGGTTTGACTTTCCCAGAAAAAGTCAACGCATGTGCGGGAAAGTCAACGCACGTGCGGAAAAAGTCAACGCACATGCGGAAAAAGTCAACTCTGCCAAATTCTGTCTTTTTGCTCATTTTATGCTCCGACGATGTATAACCTGATTGACACTCAACACACATAAAATATACGGTTTGACCAGCAAGTGAAGTTAAGAGATTCTAATTAACGGCCTCAATGATGTACATTTCGGCCTTAATCAAGCTTCTTTGCTTGTTTCTTTTGATATCTGTGAGAGTTTAATCATGAATTGGGTGGATTATATCAAAGAGTTTATTTAATTTGTTTTATTCAAAAAAAAAAAGAGTTGTTCTTTGGTAGATTCTGTGGAATTTGGGCCTGAAACTTTGGTGGATTCTGGAGTGGCTCATTGTCATGGATTCGACATCAACATTGTGGATTCAATATTGGGCAAGACAATTCCGAGGTCAAGACGGTGGTGGAAGAAGCACATTGGGGTCGGTTCGATTCAGGCGGGATTCGCTAAGAAATTGAAAATACACTTGTGTAATTCCTTTATGTCTTCTTAGGCCCTGTTTGATTCCAGGATATAAAAGGGTGGGATTGGATATTATATCCTATGGGGTCCACATATCCCATGTTTGCAATTTTTTTCCAAAAGGATATAATATACTATGGGATTGTATACCCCCAAAAAGTGGAGGATATACAATACTACCACCCTTCATTATATCATATCTCCTTGGTCGGGATATGATTTAAAAAGTCTAATTTATCCTTTTGTCTATCTAACATAATATAATTTAATATATTTTTTGAATTTAATATAATATAATATAATTGTTGGATTTAATTTAATATAATATAATTTAATACAAATTTTGAATTTAATATAATATAACATAATATAATTTAATATAAATTTTGAATATAATATATGTACATGGAGCAAATATTCCGGCGTGCCCGTATTCCTTTCTTCCGAGTTCTGTCGATATCCGATGAGCCAATAAGGGGTGAGCTACCCGGCGGTGTGTGGCCGGAAAAACCCTCCGACGGTCAAGTTAGCACACACCTTAGAGGGAATAGAGAGAAGGGAGAGAGTGTTTGAGTGTAAGGATTTTCTTACAGAGTGTTCGTCTATCTCGTATGGGGGGCGCAGACAGGCTTATATACCTTCTGTGCCCCATATCCACTCCCTGTCATCTCCTGACACGTGGCTCTGCTATCCCATCTGTCAGCTTAAACCATGCCGTTCATCACCTGCTCTCAACTGCCTGCCAGCATAGCTGGAGCTCGGCAGCCGAGCTGCCCTACCTCGGTCATACCATGCTTCATACCTTAAGCGCCTGACCGGATAACCGAATGAAGGACCGGGCTAGGCGGCATCTCGGCAAAGCTTAGCCCGGGCTCCTCCTTTGGTCGGTCTTCTCGCCGGTCAGTCAACTACCTCGGCTGACCGCGCCTTTCCGAGCGCCGGCCTCTCGGTCTGTCTGGTCTCGACAATCATCAGACCGAGCATCCCGGTCTGATCGGTCACTTCCTGGCCGAACACCTTCTGCACGGTTCGGGGCAGCACACAGTCCAAACTCTGCCCGGCCCAAGTTCTGGTAGCCCATCTCCGGGTGAACAGTCGATCATCTCGGTCCAATGCTCTGCTGGGCCCTCAACCTGTTCGGTTTATACCTCGGCCCAACGCCGGAGCATAAATCACCCTCTCAATATAATATAATGAGGGCAATCTTGAAAATTACTTATTTATATCCCACAATATATTTTGTAAAATAAACATGGATAATATATATCTAATCTTATATATCAAGTCAACAAACATAAATTGTGAGATATATTATCTAATAACTATATCCTATTCATTATATATCCTGACTAAATTTCACATCATATTATATTCTCCATTTTATATCCAGTGAAACAAACAGGGCCTTAGTGGATTGTTTTGTGACTTTGGCCCGTAATTTTTTTTTATCACAATTGGAGGCGCTCAAATTGTGATTTTTCCACATAAAATCGTTGTGTCGATTTGTCTTTAATTGTTTGATTGAAATTGCTATTTACTAGTTAAAATTGATATATAATTACAAATCAATATCTAAGAAATTTTTAGATTTTTCAAATGTTGTGTGGTTGATATCATTGTAGATGTGGGTCTCATTATATAAAAATTGAATTTGGACCACACATTATTTCTTGAAGAAAATTTCTAGACAATTTTTTCACTTTGATTTTTTCTGTATAATTATCCCAATATTACTTTAAAAAAAAATTTTAAAAAATCAAACTTACCTCCCCAAAAACCAACAATACTACATACCTAGCAAAATTATTTAAAAAGTGAATCAATGAGCTATATTTTATTGTGAATGTAACTTATCACTCACTAATTTTAAATTTATACTACACAATTATTTTTTAGATATTTCGGAATAAATTTTCTTAGTTGCTAGTTGTTTTGCGCAAAAAATAAAAAAATAAAAGTAAAAACATGAACATCACAGATTCACAGTCCAATGTTTACCATGTACAACATTTCAGATTGTTGGTTCTTCCAAAAACATTCCAGATTGTTAAATGAAATGAACATATATATAATTAAAGCACAGAATTTTCTTTTTTGATCGTACAAATATTCCCCAACCCTGATGGGGTTTTGTCCGTAGTGGTTTATTTTGGACTTATTTTTGTCATCAAAATTATTTATCTTGTGTGACTCTTTAAATTGATTATTCTTGCAAAAGAATTAAATTGATCAAATATTAGTAACAGTATGATTAAACAATGTATCTTAAAAATATGAATGTTTGATTATGTGATTAATGATGTTAAATCAATCCAATTCTACATTTGAAGAGCCTCATAGGAAGGAAAAGTTTAACATGTCTTGAAAAAAATTAAAAATTAAAAAGTTATTTCAAAAATTAAAAAATTATCACTATTTATCAAAAATATATTAAAAAATTAAGTTAACACATAATTACATTTCAGGTCCAACAGCAGAGATGACTTTTGGAGAAAATTGTACAGTTTTAGGTGCATAAATAACATGGTGATGTTCGGCCTGTAGAGGCCCATCATGGGTCTCTTTTTAATAGTCTGAACCATTCAATATATAGAACTCGTCAAGTAATATATGTCTGTAAAAAATCACGTTGATCGGATATTGGTAAATATATGATCAAATCAGTTAAAATTTATAAAATGGATGGTACTATAGTTAACGATTGAAAAAAAAAACTAAATCGATCAGATAGCTATCGATTTCCGATCAATGTGATTTTTTATAAGCATATAGTACTCGACGAGTTCTACACATTAACGGTTTTGATTAGCAAAACGGGACCTGTGGTGAGCCTCCATGGGCCGAACAACACCTCCAATTCAATACCCAAAAAGCAGGGAATCATATCCCAAGTACACTCTTCACACTGTCTGCCTATTTCCTCACAATCTTCTCCTTTACACTAATTTATATAATTTTTTAATACACATTTTTTTTTATAAAAAGTCAAAATTATCCCAAATAATCATATTTATTTCCTCAAACTTTTTGTTAAAAAAGTCAAAAAATACATTTATTTAAGACATCCCAAACAATCCTAAGAGCAATTTAAGTCACCGAGATAAGGTGGCCCCACCAAACTCAGATGACACCTCTCTAATTGGATCATTAATGGAAGAGAAGTTTAGTCTGAAAATTATTAGGTGATTTCCAAACATATTTAAGTGAGTCATTTTTTATTTTAACTTTCTCACTAATGTGCATAAGCATTGTCCTATTGCAAAATTTCCTACCATGTCATTGATTGAGAACACCAGATAGACAACAACACTACGGGTGTGTTTGTTTAGACGGATTGGATAAGAAGAGATTGTAATCTATTAGACTGTTAGTCTTGGGATACATTATCCTGGGACTATTTGGTTGGATTGGATTTATATCCTATGTTTGTTTAGTCATGGAATTAGATGTCTGGATTGGACTATTTTTAATAAATCTAATGTTTGGTTAGACGGACTGGATAAGGATAAATGTTCAAAAAACTATTTTACCCTTATAATCTATAATTTATAATTTAACAATACTAAAAAAATTTAATCTATAAGGCCACAATTTTTAATTTATAATTTAAATTTTTATTTAATATATGATTTTAAATTAACAACACTAAAAAAATAATTTATAAATGTTTAAAAGACTATTTTATCCTTTTTTAATTGTTTGCTAAGTAATAGCATGGAGGGTAAAATAGACATTTCACAAAATATTCTCATGGGATACCAATCCTATAGTTTCTATCCCACCTCCCCATGGGATAGGATAGTCCCATATTTGGACTATTAGTCCGAAACAAAAAAAATAAAACAAACAATAGACTATTAATCCGAAAAAAAATTTAATTTATAAGGCCATAATTTATAATTTATTATTTTTAATTTAATTTAATTTATAATTTAAATTTTTTATTTAATATATAGTTTTAAATTAACAACACTAAAAAAATAATTTATAAATGTTCAAAAAACTATTTTATCCTTTTCTAATTGTTGACTAAGTAATAGCATGGAGTGTAAAATAGACATTTTACTAAATAATCTCATGGGATACCAATCCCATGGTTTCTATCCCACACCCTCCCATGGGATAGGATAGTCCCATGTTTGTAGGACTAATAGTCTGGGGGACTATTAGTCCGAACTAAAAATTTTCAAACAAATAATAGACTATTAGTCTGGTGGGACTAATGGTCCAATCCCACCCTCTTATCCCTCAAAACAAACATGTTCTATATGCACTCCGAAACTACTAAAGAATTATTCACCCTACAAATTACGCCGACATAACATAAAAAAATAGAAAATAAGTTTTTCAAAAAAAGAAAAGAAAAGTGTGTGGTGGGATACATCCACAGTATCTTGTCCATACATTATTTGAAATAATTTTCGAGGTAAAAAAACACTAGGAAACTGCAAACCCCTGCTAGGGTGTCCCTCTGTACCTTCTTCAAATGAAGCTGTACATTCATTTTATTCCTTCAATATCAATTTTCATGATTTTTCTTTTTCTGCTTTAACAAGACACCGTACCTTCATGCCCATGTTACAGTTATCAGTAGCTTTCACTCTAGCTTTTGAACCATTCACACAGAGAGAGAGAGAGAGAGAGAGAGAGGGTGTCTGTCATATTCTGCTGACACAGATTTGGTAACTGACTAAGAGGATTCTCTCAATAGAAAAGTTTGTTAGCCTTGTCTTCTAGACATCCCCACAAGCACAGACACTGTTAAAAATAGGTTGAGATAAAAGGCCACACAGAGGCAAGTGTTAGGGGGAGAGAGAGAGAGAGAGAGAGAGAGAGAGAGAGAGGAAACATGTCAGCTCTTGAAACAGCATTGCATTGGCTTAGGCCCCTTGTTGAGTCCAACACCTGGGACTACTGTGTTGTTTGGAAGCTTGGAAATGACCCATCAAGGTACATAAATATATACATAAAGATTAGTCTCAACAAAACACATAGATTAGTCTTTTCTCAGAGTACTTTTTTTTTAGCTTCGATCTCTTGTTTTTGTTTGAGCATTGCTTAAAATTAGGTTCATTCAATGGGTTGGTTGTTGCTGTGCTGGTGCTTGTGCTTGTGGTGGTGAGCTTGTTAATGTCAAAGAGGAAAGTGGAGATCAGAAACACCACTTGTTTCCCCTTTGTAGGGATTGCAAGATCAAGCATTCTGCTAAGACCAAGGCTTGTGAGAAACTTTCCCATTTTCCTTCTTCCATGGCTTTGTATTCTGGGTACCCATGTGTCTCTCTCTCTTATCTGATTCTAAGTAACATCCCCATCCCAAGTTGTAACAATATTGTCCGATTTAGATTAGGCTCTCACGCTCCCCTGCCCAATAAGGGCGCATTAGCCCAAAACGGAGAATATTGTTTCTCTCTATCTAGTAACAATATTGTTCATTTTGCACTAAGCTCTCATGACCCCTTTCCTAATAAGGGCACGTTAGCCCAACATGGACAGTATTGTTACAATTCCGTAACTTTATTGTTCACTTGGGGCTAAACCCTCGCAACCCCTAATAAGGAAGGTCCCGTTAACCCAAAATGGACAGTATTGTTATAGCTTGGAATGGGACTTTCTATGACTAAAACCGCAAGATTAAGAAGTACTAATGTGGGACTAAAAACCAGGATTCATGGGGAGGTAGTAATGTCAACAGAAGCAAGGTGGATTAGATGTGCCAAGGACTCCAATTCAAGTGATCACTTGCATGTGGTATTTAAATCTTCCTCTGTTTTCTTTTTTTTATTATTTTTATTATATATATATATAATTGTGCTTTTACCTGCGTTTTAAAATTGAACTTACTGTTTGATTGAAAGAAACAATAGCAAATCATAAGTAGAAACCAATGAAACAAGGCTTGCACATGTGCAAATTGTTTCATCAGAATGGTAACAGAAGTGTTTCATGCACACCAACTACTTGTTCATTATCCTGACTAAGTTTTTTTTTTTTTTTTTTTTTTTTTTATTTTTTTGGAACAAATTATTAATGGGTTGCTATTAAATTCATGACCACAAGTTAGAATACTATCTTGAGTTATTGGTTCATCCGATTGTGCAAATCTTGTTTAACTCGAAAGACTGATTTTTCCTCTTTGCAGGAATCAACTGGAACTGAACTGTTGATTCCCGTTGTTAATGGTCTTATCGAGCTCTTTAGCACAAAGCACGTAAGAATAACTCTGATCTTTATTTAACATGTAACCAAAATGTTCTTTTCAAATTAAGAAAGAATGGATCTTTATTCTTTTTTTGTAGATCCCAAAAGATGAAAAGATAGTAGATTTCATTACTTCTCAGTTTAACATCAATATTAAGCGAGAAAGCGTAACTGCACAGAGCTATTCCACCACTTTGAACCTAAGCAAACAACCCCATGATCCACTGGTTGGTGAATACTTTAACAGTTTTATTCCTAGGCTCCCATTTCTTTCCCTGGTATCTCAACCCGCCACCTATCCTTGCTTTGAAGGATCATCCACTGGTTCTAGTCCTTCAAACCAACACTCATCGTTCTGTTCTGGTTCCGGTCATGTGTCCCCAAATGTGTCGGTGAATGAATCAATCGAAAAATACCCACCATCCAAAAAGCAAGAGGAGTTGGGTATTTTGGGGCATGCCAATCATTTGGTTGAGAAAGATAGTTTGAAATCTAAGCAGAGGATAGAAAGGGAACAATACCAATCAAAGAATTTGGTTACAGAGCGAAAGAGGAGAAACCGGATTAAAGATGGGCTCTTTACTCTACGCTCTTTAGTCCCCAAGATATCCAAGGTTTGCTTCATTACACAAGTTCACATGTCACTTAATATGATTTCAATTGCAAACATACTTTAAATTGTTTCTTTTATTGACCTTTCTGTAGATGGATAGAGCTTCAATACTTGGAGATGCAATCGAGTACATAGAGGATTTGCAGAAGGCGGTGAAGAAACTTCAGGATGAGCTCAGGGAGATGGAAAAAGAGAAATTTAACGAGGAAAGTGATGAGTTGGAGATGCCAAAATTGAATGCTAGCACTGAGCACAACCAAGATCCGTCTACTGTTGATGAAAATGAACAAATGGAGGTATGAAGAGCACACGAAAAAAAAAAAATTAAAATTTTGGCTTTAATCTTATAAATTTGTACTAACTAATTCTTCATTTTCGCTTAGGAGCAAGTGGAAGTAAAGCAGATTGGCATGAGAAATTTCTTGCTCAAGTTGTTGTGCAAGCGAAAGCAAGGAGGGTTTAGGGGGCTGATAGAGGCTGTGAATTCTTTAGGACTTCAAGTGATTGATGCCAATGTCACCACATTCAATGGCAAGGTCTTGAACATTCTGCAGTTGGAGGTAACATTGAAGATCACATGGAATTTGGGAGTTGTGATTTTGAATTCGTTAGTTCCTGTTAGGCTGTCCCCAGAACTTTACCGAGTCTTTTTAATTCTGTGTTTGAATAAAAGATTTAAAGGAGATTTGTTGAAGGAAAGAAAAAGAAAATGGAAAAAAAAAAATAGCTTATATTTTTTTCTCTTCTTATTTTACTTTTACTTTCCCTCTACAAATCTCTTTTTAAATCCTTGATCTAAACATAACTTTAAGATTTGGACAACATTGTTAGCACTATAACATGAACACAACCATAACAACCAAAACTGTGAATTAATGCTCTGTTTGTTTCGATCTAAAGCGTTTTTGATAAATTTTTGGATAAAACATGTTTTTCTTACGTTTGGTTGTGACTTTAAAACTAATGTCTGGTAATAGTGGTGGTGGCAATGGTGGGGAAGTGGTTGTGATAGCAGTGGTGGCAGTGGCAGTGGTAGTGGTGGTGGTATGTTCAGAAAATATTTTCACTATTCAAAAAACGTTTTCTAGCTAAATAAATTTGATTTCTTGTTGACCACAGAAAATTTCACTCTCATTTTCTATCTACCAAATGCCAAAAAATGCATAAAATATCTTCTAGAAAACATTTTCTGTCAAAACAAACTGAGCATAAATGTTTCCATTGTCACAAACTTGATTAAAATCTGATGCGAAACAAAAAGGACTGATTCAGTTTCTATGCACCACGCACCCCCATTCCCCTTTTTCATGTTCATAGGACAGTCTTTGCTACAAATACTGACATAGGAATTGGTTTGCAAGGTAAACAAATTGGGGGTTGAAGTTCAACAGAAGAGTTTGAGAGATTCATTGATCAAGCTAACAGGTAACAACAAGACATCTCAAGAATACACCATGGAGTGTCCATAAAGAGAAGAAGTTGACACGAGTATAAAATGGAATAGTTGAGAGGTCTATATGCTTACATTTTTAGATCTTTGTACAAATTTCTGATTTACATATCAGTCAAAAATATCATAAGTTATTACTTACAAACTGGTTTGTGTATCATGTTAGTTTTTGCTTTTTAGTCCTGATTTGTTTCTACATGATATGAAAATATGATTATCACTGTTTTCCCTTTGTTCTGTCTTTGGTAGACCATACATTTTGCAATAAGGTCCCATCTCGGGTTTGACTTTTGTAGTAATTTCTTAATTTTTTTACTTATCTCTTTGGCGTCAGGATCCTCTAGGGTGAAAATCCTAAAGTGATCTCCTAGAGTGAAGAGATCCAACGGCTGAAAATAAAACTAACCAAAACGATGTCGTTTTGGTTAGTAAGTTGAAAAAAAAAATTCATTTCAAAATTCCCTCTATATACTCAAGTATAGCAGAAGGTGGGAAGAAGAAAAGGAAAACAGAGTGCGAGAGAGAAGAAGAGAGAGAGAGGCTGTTACTCCCTGCGTCCCGTCGCCCCGCCGTGTTAAGCTTAAGTGCTTTACGAATTATTTTATAAAATAAACAAAATGTTCAAATCTTTTATCTAAAAATATGAATTTATGTATAATATATGTACTCTCCCTATATATAGTTGTTGGCACCATAAATCTGCAATTTTTATTATTATTTATTATTTATATAATTGCAGGACATGTGGCATCCTCCTACTCATTTGGAGGTTATGAGAAGTTATGAAATGTGAAAAGATGATGGAGAATAAAGTGGAGAACATAGACCATAAATTGGAGGTTAAAGGAAGTTATGAAGACATGGAGGGATATGTGGCATTATGGGAATGGAGATGGAAGAGTGGGTAGTTTTAAGTGGTTATTGGGTAGTTATTGCTGGAAGTTTTTTTCCTACAAATATTTGTCTATAAATAGCTAGAATTCAAATCAAAGACAATTGATTTCAATATTTCTTGGTATTTTCCTTATCTTAAGAGTAGTTTAACATAGATTTATATTTCGAAGCATTTATTTTCAGCATTTCCTTTTCAAAACATTTTATGCACTTCCTTTTCGAAGCATAGGAGTAGAGGTAAGTAATTATTACTTTGATTGTTCACTCAATCGTCTTTCTCCATCTCCTTCATTCTTCTTTTAATTTTTCTTTTCTCTACACTTGGCAATTTTGAAGTCATCTGCTTGAATTTAATCTGTAAGGATTTTTCAATCCTTGCTTGCACGCTCGCATTTATGGTATTTTCCTTTGTAGAAAAAATAAGCCAACAATTTTTGGCACATTTGAAGTCCTCTTTGTTGAGGCAAAAGAACCGTCAATGCAATTACTTAATAATTGGCTTGAATTTAATCTGTAAGGATTTTTCAATCTTTATTGGCACGCTCGCATTTATGATATTTTCCTTCGTAAGAAAAATAAGCCAACAATTTTTGGCACGCCTAGTGGGACGTCAAGTGTAAGAAATGAAAAATGAATTGGATTTGTCCATTTCAAATAGCCTAGATGAAATCTATTGGCGTAAACAAAAAAATTTGGATCTTCAAGAAGAGATCTATTTTCTTGATGAGATAAACTTTCATTCCTTACAATATTGTTTGGTAGAAGAAAAAAGGCAACATTTAATTAAAGAAATTCATCAACTTGATATGGAAATTCGTCAATGGAATGATGAGTTATCAACTCTCACTACCAAGTCTTTAACTGAGGCTTTAATGGCCGGAATTGATGAAATTTTTCAAAAAATTTTTATGGTTAAAAATAGCAAAAGCAAAGAGTTGATTTCATCAATGGTTCGAAGGATTCAAGAGCCTGGGTTAAAAGCACCAAATTATAAAATTAACATAACGAAAGAGCATATTCTTGAGCCAAATTTGGCTAAGAACAATGTTCTATACATGGCTCGGGCGGTCCAAAAATTAATTTTTAAAGAGGCAAGTCATGAAAATAGCATACCTATGGGGGATTTTCATAAGCCATTAATGGTTAACATGGAAAAACAACCCACTTTGTTAAATAATTATGAAAATCTATTCGGCGAAAGTCATGTTTTTAAACCAAACATGGTCAAGAAGAATGAACAAGTCACTGTTCATGAATTCAAAATTTTTGATGTTTTTCAAAATGTCAAAAAGTATGAATTTTCATGGTCACACTATACCATAATTTTTGTTATTCAAAATCCATTTTGGATTTGTGAATCACATCAAACGTTGACTTTGATGGAATGGCTAACAAATAATATTTTGTTATTGCAATATATTGGGCAAAAAAATATGGTTATTAGTTGATCCATAAAACCATCACCATTTGGTTTTGTAGTTACCTTCGAAGCATGTCCCAAGACACTTCGAAGCATGTTATTAAGAACATGTGAGGGTTGTTAATCCAACTCTTTGGATTTGGTTCGAAGGGATGTCATGAGCACTCTCGAAGGACAACTTTGATCCTTTAGTAACATACGTGACTTTCAAATGGTGGTTTTGTCATTAATAAGCACCTTCGAAATGTAACATGAAACAAAAAGGCTTTTGAAATGTATACCTCCCTTCAAATATATGTAAAATGACAATTAATTAATTGTCAAATAATGCCTATTTTGACATGATAATTAGTGGCTTTACTGATAAACATTTTTATAGCAATTTGTTACATGAAAATGTAACTAGTATTCTATAAAAATTGGTTCGAAGAACAACGGTTTTGGTGTCTTCAGAGAATTAATAATTGGTTCGAAGCATAAAATTAATATTTTCATTAATTATGTGTGAACCAAAACATACAAAATGTGAATAACCACAATATTGGCCAAAAGTTGCTTCGAAAGCCCTTTTGCCATAATTTTTTAAGCTTCAAAGCACTCCGTCTTGCATCAACAACAGCTTCGAAGAAATAATATTTGTGGTTGTGAACCTTCAATGTTGGCCAAAAGTTGCTTCGAAAGCCCTTTTTGCCATAATTTTATAAGTTTCGAAGCACTCCATCTTGCATCAACAACAGCTTCAAAGAAAAAATAGTGATGGTTGTGAACCTTCGAAGCTTTGCCGAGTATTTACAAGGATGTAATTCGTTCTTTGTCGGCACTTTCGACCTTTGAATGATGATTTTGGTTCTCTATACCACCTTTGAAGCTAGTTATTTAGCATGTGTAACAGTTTGCTAAGGTGAATCATTGGCTTTGCCTTGAAAATATGTGGTTATCCTTCGAAGCTTTTCTGCAATAATATCTCTTCAATGTGTATACATATTATTCACAACATCTACTCATAATTTCATGCTCATTCGAAACACTTTATTAGTACTATTATATCATTCGAAACACTTTGTTGATATTATTCGAAGCACTTTATTGCTTAGATTAGTCATGTGCTTGGTTTAACCCTTCAAAAATTCAAGTAAACATCATTTTTAAGGGCCATGGGGGGTAATGTTGGCACCATAAATCTGCAATTGTTGTTATTATTATTTATTATTTATATAATTGCAGGACATGTGGTATCCTCCTACTCGTTTGGAGGTTATGAGAAGTTATGAAATGTGAAAAGATGATGGAGAATAAAGCGAAGAACATGGAGCATGAATTGGAGTTAAAGGAAGTTATGAAGACATGGAGGGATATATAGAATGGTGGGAATGAAGATGGAAGAGTGGGTAGTTTTAAGTGGTTATTGGGTAGTTATTGCTGGAAGTTTTTTCCTATAAATATTTGTCTATTAATATCCATTCATGAGTACATTGTAAAAGAATCTAGAATTCAAATAAAAAACAATTGATTTCAATATTTCTTGGCATTTTCCTTATCTTATGAGTAGTTTAACATAGATTTATATTTCGAAGCATTTATTTTTAGCATTTCCTTTTCAAAACATTTTATGCACTTCCTTTTCGAAGCATAAGGAGTGGAGGTAAGTAATTATTACTTTAATTGTTCACTCAATCGTCTTTCTCCATCTCCCTTATTCTTCTTTTAATTTTTCTTTTCTCTACACTTGGCAATTTTAAAGTCTTCTTTGTATAGGCAAAAGAACCGTCAACACAATCGCTTGACAATTTGCTTGAATTTAATCTGTAAGGATTTTTCAATCCTTGCTGGCACACTCGCATTATGGTATTTTCCTTTATAGGAAAAATAAGCCAACAATTTTTGGCACGTTTGAAGTCCTCTTTGTTGAGGCAAAAGAACTGTCAACGTAATCGCTTGATAATTGGCTTGAATTTAATTTGTAAGAATTTTTCAATCCTTATTGACACGCTCGCATTTATGATATTTTCCTTCGTAGGAAAAATAACCAAACAATAGTATATGAAATTTGTAGGCTGCTTCGGAATTAAAGCATTGTTTCCAAGCCGAATCTGTATAGCCTGTCATTATGGGCCTAAAATGTAATTCCAAACTCGTGAGATTAAAAAACAAAACTCGTTTGGGGTAAGTCTTTATTGTTACTATTTCAGAATTTAATCTTGTGTTCTCCAGAGTTTAGGATCTGCTTCTTGTTATGTCTTGATTTGTTAGGTTAGAGTGTAGTGTTGCTTCCTTGTCAACACTGTTTTTTGCTTTGGTTTTTGCTTTTTGGATCGTGTTTCAGGTTGCCTATCTTTCTTCCCAGCAGAAGCTCTCGTAATTGGTTCTTCTTATTAATTTTATCTCTCTCTCTCTCTCTCTAATGCTTCATATTTGCAGGAACCCTTCGATGTTTTGGATTAAAGCTATTTTTTTTTTTCAAATTACTCACCTTATTTTGGTGAGGTTTATTTTCAGCCGTTGGATCTCCTCACTCTGAGAGATCACTCTAGGGTTTTACTCTAGAGGATCCCAACACATCTCTTTTGGCAAAAGAAAAAAGTTAATATATGTTTAGGAATTATTTTTTTTAGTTGTATAGAAAAATATGAACCATCGGTATGTATGGCTTCATTTTTTAGTGATTTTTTTTGACTATTTTAGTAGTTTTTTGATATTTTTTTTTTAGTCAAAAAGCTAAGTTGTCAAACAAGACCCATGTTTAGGAATGTAAAAACTGTTGGGATTAATACCACATCTGTCACGACCCAAACCCGTCCCTGTAGGTTTAGCATCGTAACCGGCCAGTAATTCGTGAATTACCAAAGGCCTCTGAACAAATAAGCACAAGATACGGGGCTGCGGAAGTAATTATACAACAAAGACAAGGTCCAATGAGCTGTGATAACGTACATAGGACAGAACATTTTGACACTTATATATATGCACAAGCGTGTCGGTCGGGGGACCTCAATATTTACAAAACATTTACATAAGTGGAGTTCCCAAGACCTGACTTTACAAACATTCAGAACTAGCATAAGTACAAAACAGCCATGCAACTAGACTTCGATCGGAATCTCCTCGGGAGGCACAACGGTTGGCTGACAAAAAATAGAATAGAAGGTCGTCAACTCTGGCCCTGGTCACACGCCGGCTCAACTACATACATAATATAAACTGTGAGGTAAAGCCCAATGAATAATAACAGAGTAAAGGATTTAATGAATGATGTCCATCACAAAGTTAGAAATTAAATTCTTAACAGAAACAGATTCATATACATATTCATAATCAGATTTCGCATATAATCATACGTGGTATGTCCCTTAGCGTTAACAAATCCGATGGCCCATAAAGGGACGGCCTTGAAGGCATTCTGATGACTCATGTGCACAGAGACGTTTCTGATGACCCATAAAGGGACACATATCATATGATGCTAAGGATGCCACGAATAACTTTCAGAATTTTGGACAACCATTCATTCATTTCAAACGGAGCATGGCGTTTCGGAGAACTAATTACTTCGTATCATAATATTCAGAAAATACTTAACATTAAACATAACTTTACAAAGTTATTACTCACAGATGATTGGTAGCCCTAACTAGATGGTAAGGCGGCCCTTTATTTCTTCTGAGGCGCGTGACCTACATGAACACACATACGAA